AAAATTGTTAACTTAAAAATATTAAATGCACTAAACTAAATAATTTATTAAAAATAACTAAGTTTATTATAAATAACTAATCAACTGAGTACAAATACATTTCAAACAAAAAAAAACAAATTTACAATCAAACATGGGTATAACAAATTTGAAAAAATATGTAAACTTAAAGCATTAATGCATCATAATACAAACCTAAAAAAAAAAATTATAACAGAGAAGTAGACATAAAAATTTGTAAACCAAGCTGCCCCGACCCGAGCCTTGTTAAGTCTGTTCAACACAGACCATTTCTATATTATTTGTTTGACCTCTTTATTTCTTTAATTTTTAGTAAACGGTAATTTGCCACAATTTTCTAAAAATTCTTTTTGTAACTCGAAATTTAATTTTCTTAAGTATTTTGACACTAATAAAGAGGTTTCTCTCCTATTTTTTGCTTTAATGGTGGTCAGGTGAGTAGAGTTTTTTTATTAAGAGTAATCATGTTTTTGATTAAGACCTTTTACCAAAATAATAAAATGTAAAACAATGAATTACATATATAAGAATGTTTTCTTTCTTTCCTCAAAAGTGTTAAAAATACAGACTAAGCTAACTTATTAGTTAAACACATCAATAAAACTTAAGTAACTCGATATTAAATGCGCAAAACTATAATATTCTCTATGTTTTTAAAGATTTTTAGTTACGACCCCCCATTTACAAAGATTCCCTAAAATATGCACAACAAATTATTAGGCATAAAATAAATAAAATGTAAAAAAAGTTTAACTAATAGCATATATTTTTATCTTTTTAACTAACAAAAATTTACAATAAAAGGAAATCAGGTTTTATTATTTAAAAATCTTACAAATGCGTCATCACGAAAATCTAAAATAAAACATAATGAAATTATGATATCATAATTACAAAGAAAAAAAAAACATAAACCAACACACAATTACCGAAAATTGATTTACCTATTTTAGTAACTTATTTTGAAATTGCAGTTAATATAAAGATTTATCGAAAATGTAACTATAAAATCTCTTTCGAAGTACAAATAGATTAATAATACTAAAAAAAAAACTCAAACTAAGATATAAATTGTTGTCTTGGTTTTTAGTAAATGAATAAAAGTAATAAGTTCCAATAATGAAACTATCTATTATTCAATTTTTACAATAGACACCACATGAAGGTAAGCTGTTTATCAACACAAAAAATCACAACATTAACATTACAACAATAACACACAACAAAAAAATCGAATGAAAATATTAAACTGAATTAAAATATGAAAGGCAAAATTAAAAAACCAATTTAAAGTTACTTATTTATCTTTTTACTAAACTTTAATAAAGTATATTTGTTTTTACATTCAATATTAGCTATTCAATTATTTCAAATTTAGGGCATTAAAGCACCCTAGATTTATAGATTAACGTTGCATATTCTCTCATCCACATTACGCTAAACATTAACAGATATTATTATGTGTTTCCAGAATAATTAAAAGAAGCTAGACAACACAACCTAGCTCTAAAGCAGTAACACCGCCTGGCACTAAATGCTGCCAAATCACACCTCTGCTATAAGTACACCGCTTGGCTAGCAAAGTTATCAAACTTGCTTAACATAATACCAAGATACACCACTTTGAAAACATGGAAACAACATAGTTTAAACATATATACAACTATAAACAAATATGACTTTATTTAACACATTTTACAACTATTGAATGACAGATATATTTATCAAAAACTAAGAGAAAAAATAAATAATGATAAATAAAGTTATACATACAAACTGTGCTCACAACCTTTAACAGAAAATCTAAAGACTATAAATTAAGAACATTAGAAAATATAACAATATTTATGTAACATTTTTTACCTACTATACCTTGAATAAGATGTTTATCAATTTTGAAAAACAAACTATTAAATGCTCTAGTTCTTGAACATGCAACTTATAGTTGACCATGAGAGAAACACGGTTTTTGACATATTTCTTTTGTCTACATTTTAATTTCGCGTTACGTAATATATAGACGATCCGTAAAGTAAAATACTTAAAACTAAAAAGATTATATTTAATACAATATTTGAACAACCATGGGACAATTTGAAGAATTATATCTTTAAATAGCAAGCAACTCATAAATATATCTTATAAATGGTCATTATCAATCGCTGTATTAAAAAATATGCAGGAGCTCAGTCATTACATGAGTTTAATCAATTCTCCCTGTACTAATTCTTATTTAAGTCTCATCTAAGAGAGAGAGAGAGAAAGTGCTTCAAAAGCAGCATGTTAGAAAAAGTAAAAAAGTCATGTAATAAATAACAGTAAATGGTTTTATTATGCTACCAATAAACAAAATTATTTTTACCTTAAATAAAAAGTTAATTTCCAGCATATCTTAATAAAGTTCCAGTTTCTCTCTAACTGTTGACAAATGATTAATATAGTAAATTTTACATCATAATAAACTTACAAAATTAAAACCATGTTTCAACAGTAAGCAAAATAACCAACTGATGACATAGACAATTAAAAAAAAATAATCACAATTATGTTTAAGATTACAAAAAAAAATTAAAACCATTTAAAATTAAAACTGTTATTATTTGTTATTATTATTTAGTAAAATTCATTCTTTGTTTTATTTTAAAGTGTCTAATGTAAAATCAAATAATAGACATCAACACCGCTTGACACTGAATTCTGGCAAGTAAGTTTTCTGTTCATCAAGCAAAATTTCTTAAATTTCAACGACAATTTATTTTATCACGCCTAGATCTATCTCTTTCATATGACAACAATTTCAAGTCACCTATAACCATTTACACTGATAACTTTTTTGAGCCTAATATTATGCATCTGTATTCATTAAACATTATTACATTAAACATATTACCAGTGGTTATACTACTGTTACAACTGAATAAATGAACGTTTTATACTTTTACAACTAAAAATATAAAGCAAAATTTATTTACAATATAACAGTCAGTTTTCCATGTTAAATACATTAAATATATATCTAATATAAAATATGTCTAATATAAAATAAAACAAAAAATTAAACTTACTCAAATCAGTAACAGTTCGACGGTCTAAAAATTTCTATTATTAACCCTTCTATTTCAAAAAAGAAACAATTGATTTGAAGTGACTAAAAAGCATTTCAGCTCTTTCCAATTGCACTAAAAAATAAAAAAAATCTTGCTTTGCTAAGTTGCCTAGTTCTTAAGAATCTGAAAACAAATAAGTAAAAAACAAAGAACAAGCAAACATTTATTAAAACTACTCTATTTAAACAAATTAAATTAAACAGAGAACAATATTGATTCTCCCTGCAAACTGAAAAATTTTTTAGCTCAAATTTGCCTGCAGACATTGCTTGTAAAACCACTTGAATAAGAAAAGCATTTAAAAAGCCTATAAACTACTCAAAAATAGTATATGCAACATTGAACTTTAAATGTTGACTGGACTAATTATCAGTAATTATCAGTATTCATAAAAATTTTAAATGATTTGTTCTTCTATTACAAATAAATACACCTATGATAAATCTGAAGTTAAAAAATATAACGAATATGTAAATACAAAGAAAAACATCATAGACGAATTGAAAATCAATGTACCTGATAGAGATAAGCTGTTGTGATACCTGAGTAGTAGTTGTTAAATATTATTATTTCATGATAAACAAAACGTATTTATAGCGAAATGGTCTTGAACAACTTTTAGTAAATACACTGCACTGTAAAAAAACTAACGCCAATATAACGGATGAATTTGAGAAAAGTAAACACTATCCGTTTTATTGGCGTTATATTAGCTTATACTTTTTTATGTGCGTCATAATTTGTGTATACTTGATCAATTCCTTACAAATGGTGAAGTCTATCCGTTATATTTATCCGTTATTTTCATCCGTTATATTTATCCGTTATATTATACGTTACATTTTTTCGTTCTTAGTCCCTTCTTGTTCCTAACGCTGAAAAATAATGCTTAAGTGATAATTATTAAATTTAATGAATATATGAATAATTTAAAATAAGAAAAATATGAAGGCTATAAAAGTTACTTATAAAAATCGTAGCGAAATAGTCGTGGCAAGTTCCGAATAGTTTACATTTGTTCAACAAAGTAAGTATTTGTATTGTTATATCATTTATCATGATACTATTTTGATTGATATCAATAACCATTTAATACCAGTAACTGGTTAATTATATCAATCAAAATATTACATGTAAATAGTATAGACATGTATTGTTATATCATATATCATAATACATATGTATATATATATATATATATATATATATATATATATATATATATATATATATATACATATATATATATATATATATATATATATATATATATATATATATATATATATATATATATATATAAGGTAAAACACCCAGTATTCGCCACTTTTTTCTACCCTGCCCCACTAAAATATTTTTTTCTCACTCGTTTTTCAATAAATGATTGATCTTAAATATTTATCGTACAGATGGATAGTTGGGCTATACGCTGTACTTAGAACGAATGACCTCCGATAATTAATAAGGGGGCTATAGCCCCGAAAGTTGAAAGTGGCGGACACTGGAACGGTCCCCGTGTTCGCCAGGCAATTTTTTGAACCTGTTCCAGTGTTCGCCACCCTCAGACTTTTTAAAAAATGAGTTCTTTTTTTTAGTTATTTGGTATTAAAAATATATTTAAATAATTGTTGAATAATTTTTTTATGTAATGGAAAATTTTTTTGGTTTCTTCTTTGCCATTTTTGTTGCTGGCAGCAACTTTCTTTTAGCTGGAACACTTGGCTTGTTGCGTTTAGCTAATTCAGCAACTAAGCGCTTCGTTTTTCTCTCCTCTTTTGCTTGTTCTTGTTTGTTTTTTTCAAGCCTAATACCTTCTAGCATCGAGACAACTTTATCTGAAAATTAAAATAATAATCAGGTTATAATAAAGTAAATTTATGACCATAGGCTACATGTGGTAATTTTACAGAGATTAAAAATGGAAATTATAATAATAAATTTAAAATATAGGTAGCCTAGTTAATACACTAACCGATAGCTTTTTTTGGAGAAGGGAACCACTTATGATTTTTAAGAGCAGGACTAATCGCAGGTGGTCTTGCTTGTCTTTGAGGTTCTACCAACATAGGCCTAGTCCTGTTTGGAGGGGCTGACATTGAGGAACACTGTGCATCTGAACTAGAATAAATACTAGGTGAATGAACAGAGGAAACAACAAGGGAATCAACAGCTGGTGCATCCTCTTGCCGATGATTTCGATCAAAGGCATATTGGAACCAATTTTGCCTCTTCACCATTCTGAGTGAATCAAATCGTGGCGAATCGATGACAAAGTCATCAAATGATTTTGTTATCCTGTAATATAAATAAGAATTGTTTTATAATAGTTACTAACTTTTATTACCCTGTAATATAGATAAAAATTAGTTTATAATTGTTACTAACTTTTGTTACCCTGTAATAGCTATAAATAAAAATTGGTTTATAATAGCTACTAACTAGCTAGCTGGGCTTATTAATTTATATTGAAACAAATGTTAGACACTAATACCTAGCTATCACTTACAGGTGAATGTTTGGGCCTGCTCCCAGTCCTTCCATCGTGCTAGTACTTGTGTTACCAGACAAGATGATGTCAGAGGATGTCTGTGTCGCAACATTGACATGAAAAAAATTTTCAACTTGAGTGGAAGCTTCAACACGACCGTCTTGAAGCACTCCTTCAAATATTCGACTGTCTCCGGAGTGGGCTTCTTCAAGAATGAGCTTGGTATAATCAGGAGCGTCTTGATCAAATGGCTGTCTGCCACATTTTTTAAAGGATTTTACTATTTTCTCTCTACTCATGACCCTTGTGTACACTGGCAGGAACATTCCTGCAAAGGACTCTTTGGTAACGTATTCATTTGGGTTGGCAGCCCTGAACCTATTCACACACTTAGCCCATTCATTTTTCATAGGGCCAAACAATCCTACGTCCAAAGGCTGCATGAAATGGGTACAGTTTGGTGGGATCAATATAAGCATTATATGCAGGTCTGCTAAGGTTTTAACTAAATGAAATTGCAGCCTCGATTCATGTTTATCGGACCAAACTATAACTGGTCTTTGTATATTATGTTGAGTTAACCATTGGTCAAATGCATTAGTGAGATACTCATAAAGCACCTGATGGTTAATATATCCCGATTCACTCTTTCCGATTGCAAATAAACTGGATGGAATGGCTTCGTATACATTCATAGGAATACGAAGGTTAGGATAAATTATAAGCGGTGGAGGGAGAGAGCCATCGGCACCAACGTTAGCTGCAAAGAAAAGTGCAAAAAAACCAAAAGTTAGCAAGCAGGCCAAGCTAGTATCATGCTAAGCTATCATGCTCAGAGATATGTTGAAAAAAAAGCAATTTATAGTGCAGCATTAAAAGAAAAGCATTACAGAAATAACATAAAAATGAGCAAAGAATAAAATGAAAATGTACCTAGAACGGTGATTCTTTCCTTTTCTTTTGAAGATGTCGCATACGGTACATTTTTAGAACCTTAGCAGCTAAAACTTTGGAAACCTTGGGTGAAAACTGGAACCCCGACTCGTCGATGTTATAGTTACGCTGGGGTTCCTAAAGGATTTCAAGAAGGTCATGTTCAGAGAGGTACGATCTTATATCAGCAAACCATTGTTGTATGACAGCTTGTGAGACATTTCTTCTATTCGCACTTAATGATTCAGTCATGCGAGCAACTTTGTTAGGATGCCTCGACAGGAATAGCTTATACCTTAGAAAACAATGGCTAAATTAGTCGACTAGGTATAGGCTATTTCTATTAGACTAATTTTATGTCTGTATCAATTGTTATAAGCTTTATTTATTAAGCTACAAATGTTTTATAAAGTTAATTTGTAATGAAAAATCTTATGACTCGTTATTAAAACTATAACATTTTTTTTTATTTTAAATACCTATAGGTCAACTTTTATAACTTAGGCACAACCTACTTACCATTTATTCCCTGGCTGTTGAGTCCCTGATCTTCCAAATTGAAAGGGACGGTCTCTATTTACTTCCATAAGTAACCTTTCATCCGAAAGAAGACTAGTTACCAATGACATAATGGTTTCTTTGGTAACAGGGTGGGCACGTTTCTGTGAGCTAACAATAAAATTCACCAAAACATTTTCTTCTGCTTCAGTTAGGTAGATTTGTGGGCCCATCTTTTTTACAACAGGCGCTTTACCACTTATTTTGTCCCTCAATGTGGTGCGCGGGATATTGTACAACTTGGATGCCTCTGAAGCAGTTCTTTCACCACTGAAATATAGCACAGTATAATTTAGGTATGCAACTACTTTATCAGTACTAGGCAGCCCTACCCTATGTATTTCTTTTAAATGTATTATAGACATTAGGCTATTATGACTACACAATAAGCAATTTAAGCATTGAAATTATGTCTATTAATGCATGCTAATTTTATTACCTTTTTACTTCTTCAATTGCCTTTCTAATGTCCTCCTCAGTGTAAGAATCTCTTGTAGACATACGTGAACCCTTATTGGACTTTGATTTACTAGTATTTATAATTCTAAATGGATATTATGCACCTAGGTACTTATTGAAACTATTTATTATAAGTCTTAACTTGATATATAAATTAATTTAATATAGTTATATAGCCCTATTTGGACTGCTTTAGTATTGTTTAATAACTAGGTTAACAGATAACCTACTTCTGAAATAAAAAATAAATACTTAGCTATATTTATACATTTAATAAAAAATAAAAAATAATAATTTGTTCCCGATGGCGAACACTGGCAAAAGGGGGGTGGCGAACACTGGACAAATTTAAAACGCCTATAACTTTTTTGTTTTTAAGCGAAATTCAACCTAACGAAGACTGGCATATGGGTCAAAGTCCATATTTTACCATTAAGCCCATATACGCCACTTTAAAGAAAAAAAATTTACCTGGCGAAGACTGGACTAGGTACTATTATGTGTTCCAGTCTTCGCCGCCACCCCTAACCCTGCCCCCCTTAATTTTTTTCCAAGAATAGCCCTGATACAATCTCCTTGTTCTTCCCATCAATCTGGAATAAAAAAAGTGAAATTGAATTGATATTTAATATGTTTTTTATGTAATTGTTTAAAAAGATTTCTGAAAAAAAATTTTAAGGAATAAGGTTTTTTGTGACACACTTTCATTCAAAAAAATCCTGAGAGTTTATTTATTTAGTTACAATCGTCAAACTTTCGACAAATATAAAGCAATGATGGGCGTTCATTCTAGACACTATTTCGGCACTTTCAACCAAAATGTTTTTGACATGCATGTTTTTTAATGGAAAACTGGCGACGACTGGAACACCTGGCGAACACTGGGTGTTTTACCCTATATATATATATATATATATATATATATATATATATATATATATATATATATATATATATATATATATATATATATATATATATATATATATATATATATATATATATACATATATATATATATATATATATATATATATATATATATATATATATATATATATATATATATATATATATATATATATATACATATATATATATATATATATATATATATATATATATATATATATATATATATATATATATATATATATATATATATACATATATATATATATCATATATCATATACATCATATATCATATACCTATATATATATATATATATATATATATATATATATATATATATATATATATATATATATATATATATACATATATATATATATATCTTATATATCATATCTTATAATAAAATATCACTTATACAAGATATCACGTCACATATATTACATGTGATGATATCTTGTAGATGTGATATCTTATTATAAGATATGATATATAAAATATATATATATCATGATACATGATATAACACGACTATTTTGATTGATACCAATAACCAGTAATACTTGTTATTGATATCAATCAAAATAGTCGTGTTAATAGTCATATAATAGTTGCTCGGATATATATATATATATATATATATATATATATATATATATATATATATATATATATATATATATATATATATATATATATATATATTTTAGTTTGTCTAACATTCAAAGTCAGTGAAATTATCGGTTTGAAATGGCTTGGATGCCCAGTTCCTGAAACAAATTTTACTGCATTATTGAATGAACAATCACTGGAATTTTTGGTCGACATCCAGCAAGCAGATATCTTCAACAACCAATCTCCATCTCAATCTTTTGTTTCTTGTTCTGATCCTCAATCATCATGCTCCACGTCATTCAGTTTTTATAATGAATTGCAAAACAACATTATTTTTGCTGAAGATATTATTAGTTGCAAACAAAGACGCCTCAATGATTCATTTCCTGTTCCTTTTCCATCAACTCAATCAGTTCAAACCAGTTTTGTAACCCCAATTGATGTTACCAATACTCAAACTCAACCAAGTGCAACAGCAAATTTATCTTCATATACCAATCAGTAAACAGACAATTTAAACTCAAAACGAAAGGTATTTTGATACAAATGTAATTGCTGTTCTTTTACAACTTTTAGGTATTGTTTAATGAAGAATCACTTACAAGTTCATGGAAATAAAGCTTCTGTAATTTGTTATATATGTTATTCATGATTTTATATTATGCCCTTTTTTAAAACGTGTTCTTAGGTGATGACAACTTTTTTTCCAATGATAATCTCACTGATTATAACCTTTATAAATCATTACAAATGAGATACATTTTAAAGATATTTTTGTGCTTGTTTTCTATTTTTTTTAGTCTTTAATGACATCTGGAAGCAATGGTAAGGATAAATCTTTTCAAAATGATTGATATGACTTACAAATGATATACGAAAATCATAAATAAAATTATATAAATGACTTAGTATGAGAAGATGTCTTTTTTAGCCATTACTTATTTTATTTTTTAGTCTTTAGTGCCAACAGCATTTAGTACCAGTGGTAAATCTACACGTATGTTTTAATACGAGTTCATATTCCATAAACTATTAAGGTGTCCTTTGCTTATTAAACTTTTTATTTTATATTCTTAGTGGCATTTTTTATTATACAGACTTTTTTATCATCAACATCTGGTACCAGTGGTAAAGTTACATTTATTTTTTCACTACAAGTATATATTCTATAAATTTTAAGGAGGGTTATTTGTTTGTTTGTTTTTTGTAATTATTAGTGGCATCAACATTATGTAGCAATGGTAAAGTTATATCTTTTCAAAATAATTTTTAGAAATTAATTAAATGATTTTATATTATGCACTTTTTTATGACGTGTTTTTAGGTGATGACAACTTATTTTTCAATGATAATCCTACTGAATATATCTTTTTTAAATCATTATAAATGAGATACATTTTAAAGATATTTTTGTGCTTGTTATCTTTTCGATTTTTTAGTCTTTAATGACATCTGGAAGCAATGGTAAGGTTAAATCTTTTCAAAATGACTGATATGGCTTATAAATGATATACGAAAATCATAAATAAAATTATATAAATGACTTAGTATGAGAAGATGTCTTTTTTAGTCATTACTTATTTTATATTGTAGTCTTTAGTGCCAACAGCATTTAGTACTAGTGGTAATACTACATGTATGTGTTAATACGAGTTTATATTCCATAAATTATTAAGGTGTCCTTTGCTTAAAAACTTTTTATTTTATATTCTTTTTAATGGCATTTTTTATTATACAGACTTTTTTATCATCAACATCTGGTACCAATGGTAAAGTTACATGTATCTTTTCACTACAAGTATATATTCCATAACTTTAAAGAGGGTTGTTTGTTTGTTTTTTTTATTTATTAGTGGCATCAGCATCAAGTAGCAATGGTTATAAAGTTATATCTTTTCAAAATAGTTTTTAAAAACCAATTAAATGATTTTATATTATTCCCTTTTTTAAGACGTGTTCTTAGGTGATGACAACTTTTTTTCCAATTACAATCTCACTG